GCCCCCTATTTTTTTTAAAAAAAAAATCATTATATATATATACACTAGCAAAAAAAAAAAATGTTATTTGACTTTTATCCAATTTTATAATAGTTGAAAGAATAGTGAGTAAATTTGTTTAGTTGTAATTAAATCAGTAGTAATGTGTTTTTAATTAGTTATTTTTTAATATTTTTTTTAAAAAAACTAGTACGAATCCCGTGTGATGCACGGGTAAAAGATATTAATTAATATTTATAAATTAAAAATTCTTATTAAATAATATTTATAAATTAGAAACATGGAATTAATATGTAATAAAATGTACTTATATAATTTATTGAAAATGTTATATAAAATTTAAATTGTACAAAATTATATAAAAAATATCTATTTAAAATTAGTACACATCCCGTGCGCACATAATTGATAGTGAATTATATTATATTTATTTCAAAACATGTGTCATTTCAAAATTTTTATTCACAAATTCGATTTGACTATAACGTAATTCCATAACATAATTATTTTGGTAAAGTTTTATCATATATTTAAAAACCAATGTGAATAATAAGTATAAATATAAAACTTATATTGTTTAATTAATTAAAATGAATTTATTTTTGTATAAAATATCTAAATCAAAAAATTTAAGTAGTTGAGTAAAAATAATCAGCCATAAGATTTGTATGCCAACAAATATCGACACTCTTTATCATGCTAAAAAAATAAAAACTAAATAAATTTGCTCACTTTATACCATATATTGATTAATTTATTTCCCATAGAAACAAACATCAATACCAAAAATAAATTCATCCACTATATACCATATATTAATTAATTCATATGATTTGAGTAATTAAGGTATCTTAAACTATGGCTTTTACTTCTGTAAAGAACATCTTCAATGCATTGGGTCTAGTCTTGCCTATATGACAAGTAAATAAACTCAAGTCTTAGATGACATGGATAAAACTATGTAAAATTAATAAAATCCACTTCAATGCAAAGAGACTAGGTCTCTACTTGGGTCTAAAATAGACTTAAGGGGAGACCGGGTCTCTTTTTCTGGCTGCCACATCAGCAGGACCCAGTCTACTTTTATTTACATTGGAGAATATATTTTTTTAAACTGGGTCTATTTCTTATGTGACATGTAATTTTTTGGGATTGAACCCAAAGCATTGTGAATGCTCTAATGAGCCGCAATTTTCATAAGTGATCATTTAAAATATACCATAATTATTAAATTACTTTCTCAAAATAGTGTATAATTTTTTTTGGAGTGAAATAGTTACTATTTAAAAAATAATCAAACTTTTTTATATATATAGATATTGTTTGAATTTTATCCAATTTTATAATATTTGAGAAAAAAAATGAATAAATCTAAAGGTTAGTTTCTGATTAAACAACACTTTATGTTAAAATTGGTATACAAAAATCAATAATAACTTACCAGATAGTTGTTAAAAAGACAATTCCAAAAGAAAGTCTTAGCAAAACAATTGCGCCAAATATTACTGGATATGAACACCTAAAAACTAATCCTGCCTAAACAAAATAAACATGTAAAAACTCAAACAAAGCAAATAAAAAACACTTACAACAAACACAAAACAATACAACTTGCTGAAAAGTAAAACAATAAGAGACAACCACTTAAAGCATAATCTTCACTAAACCTGCAAATACAAACAAAAAAAATAACATGGAAATAGAAAAAAGAAAAGGAAAAAAATCAAAGCAACAACTAATCACATACAACAAAACCTTAAGGACATTATACCTGTAAAAACCAACAAAAGAGAAAGAATAATGTCTAAGAGAAGCAATTGCATAAACATTAAAAATAGGAAAAAAAAGAAGTAAAACTTCACCACTACCTTTTTGAGCACTCTAGAAGTTCACCACTGTTTTTTTTAGCTCGCAGTGTTGGGTTCAGATGCGCAAATGTGGAAGGTGTAAATTAAAACACCAATGTGAAATGATGAATAATAATAATAATCTCAGCAACTTAAGAATGACAAAAGAAATCTCTTGCAATAAAACAGGAATAATTCTTTTCTGATGTGGAAGATCAGATTAAACTACGACCACAGAGCATACTAAGAATATTCCAAATAATAAAATATGCAAGAAAAATGACACCAAGATTTAAGGTGGAAAAACCTCCAAAGTAGAGGAAAAAACCACGGGACAACCTCCGAACAATTCCACTATATTTTCAAGATAATTACAATATCTTTTCACACTCCCCTACACTAGAAATGTAAAATATAGTGACCCAGTGAGACCCCACTCCTATTCAAATATTACAAACAATGAGCAATAGAGATGATACCCGACCCGATGTATTTTTCCCACACTCACAGAATTTACTCAAACACTCTATTTTTCTCTTACTGAAAAATAACACTCACAAGAAATATTATTTTTGTTCGCTTGGTCTCTCTTTTTTTCTTCTCGCCTAGTGTGTATTCCTCTGCCGAATGCCCCCTCTATTTATAGAGGGGGGAGTGCAATGAAATTGCACTCTAATTCAACAAAAGCTGCTCCGTCTACCAATGTGAAACAATGAAGCAGCTTTCCTTTTTTCTTCCTTCCAATAATGCGGCGCCAGCCACTTTCATTTTTATTTTTCCATTGTGGTGTGCTACTTTAGCCACCAAATTTGACCCAATCCTTTCTCATTTTTACCTCACAATTCTCCCCCTCCAGCCAAAGGAAAATTTACTGCAGATCTTTACATGCACTCCATGCCTATCAACTCGGCACAAAGCTGAAGCTTTCCTCCTGTTACAACTTTCGTCATCATGTCAGCAGGGTTTTCGCCAGTGTGAATCTTTTTCAACTTGAATTGTTGTTCTTCCACTGCTTGACGTAGCCAATGATATCTAACAATG